GCAGTTAGGTGTCGATCAGGCTGGCAGGGGAGTGGCTAGGGGGTGATCAGGCTGGCAGGCAGAAGCAGTTAGTGGCAATCAGGAAGGCAGGCAGGCGAGCAATTGGGAGCCAGCAGTGCCAGGCCTAAACCGGCAGTCGGACATCCTCCAAGGGGTCCCAGATTGGAGAGGGTGCAGGCTGGGCTGAGGGACAATCCCCCCCAGTGCACGAATTTCATGCACCGGGCCTTTAGTCCTATATAATAAAAGGCTAATATGCAAATCAACCGAACAGTGGAACGACTGGTCGCTATGATGTGCACTGATCACCAAAGGGCAGGCACTCAATGCAGGAGCTGCCTCTGGTGGTCAGTGCGCTCCCACAGGGGGAGCGCTGCTCAGCCAGAAGCCCTGAGCTGGGCTCATGACTGGCGAGTGCAGCAGCAGTGGCGGGAGCCTCTCCCATCTTTGCAGCAGTGCTAAGGATGTCTGACTGAAGGTTTAGGCCCACTCCCTGTGGGCCTAAGCCATCAGTTGGACATCCCCCGGGGGTTCCTGGATTGCGAGAGGGCTTCTGGACTGCTAGAGGGTGCAGGCCAGGCTGAAGGGACCTTCCCCAAGTGCACAAATTTCATGCACTGGGCCTCTAATCCTATATAATAACAGGCTAGTATGCAAATTGACCAAACGGCAGAACGACCGGTTGCTATGACATGCACTGACCACCAGGGAGCAGACGCTCAATGCAGGAGCTGCCCCCTGATGGTCAGTGCACTCCCACAGGGAGAGCACCGGTCAGCCAGAAGCCCGGTTCATGGCTGGCGAGTGCAGCAGCAGTGGTAGGAGCCTCTCCCATCTCTGCAGCAGCACTAAGGATGTCTGACTGCCAGCATAGACACCCCTGAGTGCACAAATCTTGTGCACCGGGCCTCTAGTCTATATATATAAAAGCCTAAGCGACCATTACAACCAGTCACTTGATGCGCACTGACCACCAAGGGGTAGGTGCTCAACACAGAAGCTGCCCCCTGGTGGTCAGTGCACTCCCACAGCCAATGTTCCAAGGCCGGCCAATCTCCCACGGTCCCTCCCCCTGGACTCGGTGAGACAGTGCCAATCAGACCCAACCACCGGCCAGGCCGAGGGACCCCACCCATGCATGAATTCATGCATTAGGCCTCTAGTTTATTATAACTGGATAAAAAAGGTCAAGGGCAAGAGAATGAAGAATGTCAGGTTGGGTGAGTGCATGTTGGGGGGTGATGTCAAGAAGTTATGTAGAAGACAATGAATTTTAAAAGCACAAAAGAAAATAGAAAATGATTTAAAAAATTATTATAGGCAAACACTTTCTGCTGAAACTTAATACATTTGATATTAAATACTGAATGCAGACTAAGGAGTCATTTAAATTTAATTTAAGAGGAAGTTGTAAAAATATTAATGAGTTAATGATATATGAAAGTGCTCTGGATTCTTTTCAGTAACAACATTAGTATAAAAGCAAGGAGTTATTTATGTTGAATTTGTAGATTGGCTATATAATGGCCACTGTCTGAAAACACACCTAAGATGAGAAGGGTTAAAGAAACTGAGAAGTCAAAGGTTTTTGTCTATTATTACTTATCTCCCATGTCTCTTCATCCCTGACTATATTTAACTACCAGGAAGCTGTAGAGATGATTGCTGTAATATTTATTACATGTTTGATGCTGTTGACTGGATACTTTCATATAGAAAGCACAACACTGTACAATTATTACCTTCATTTCATTATAAAAACAGCGTGGATCACCAGGCAGACTTTGTACCTTTCTTCTTAGATGTTTTAGTTTGAACTAATGGCTAAAAAGTCAGCGCTGCCTAAAGTGAGCATGTCTGCTACAATATCATCCTTCTTCACATTTTAAATTAGAAAAAATAGTCTGTTTTAATTTTCAGTTCAAGCCCCATCCTTTTAAGAAGGGGCAGTTTGAGTAAGGTGATATAATCAC